CAAACATGAAGAGATCCTGACCTTTGATGTCCTGTGTGAGGAAATAGGAAGTACACATAGAACATGTTGCCAACCACAAGCCACAGAGAGTTACCACTCACAAGGAAAAGCACTTGTGTGGTTGTCAAGGTTGTAGTGGGAACCATGTACTTTCTTTCCACAGGACACTATTTTTATTTGAAGAATGATGGAAAGACAGATGTCTACACTGACTCAAAATCATATGTTTGGCCGACGTTTTATTTAAAATGAAGACGGCGAGTCTATCACCTCTGGTATGACTGATTATCAATGAGAAAATTCTGGCTTCCCAACAAAACTGGAAATTTAAAAATAAATAAATAAAAAGAGATCCACAGTATCACGATATTGAGAATTTCTCCTATACAGCCAGTTGTATTAACAAGCATGCGTAGCCATTAGCAGAATGGAGTCCTTTGGCATTTGGAAAGCAATAGGATGCCATGAACTATCAGTCCCAAATGACCCTTTGAGCAATATTACAAAGTCATGATCAAGTAGACTATTCACTCAAAATAGGAGAGCAGCTGCTGAATCTGCAAGTATTACAGGATCTAGGAATCATTGATGTGGGTTCAATTCCCATAACCCAACTTCCCTTTAAAACAAGAAGACACGGTACTAATGGAGTTCAGTGCCAAAGCAAAATAGCCACCATTATTTATAAAGACTACTAAAATTTCCTCCTCTTTACACTCATATATTACAGTCAAAGCAAACATTCTTCAGTTTTCTTTTTTTTTTTCTTTTTTGGTTTTTCGAGACAGGGTTTCTCTGTGGCTTTGGAGGCTGTCCTGGAACTCGCTCAGTAGACCAGGCTGGTCTCAAACTCACAGTGATCCGCCTGCCTCTGCCTCCCGTGTGCTGGGATTAAAGGCGTGCACCACCAACGCCCGGCCCAGTTTTCTTTATATACTTCAACCACCCATGACTGAGACAGAATCAGGTACAAGAACCTAACTACCTACTTCTAAACTATATAAACTATACAGTTAAAGGAATGGCCCAGCCATAATGCCACTCTTCCTACTAAATATTTTTTGGCTGATCCTAGAGGAAAATTGGGGAAGATGTTCCTTAAAATAAAATTATTTGTTTTTCTGTATAATTTGTATTGTTAATTTGACTAAACTGATAAATGTGATTTTCTAAATTTCTCAGTTTTAACTTCTAATGGGATGAATTCTGATAAAGATAACCCACTGCATTAAGTACTTTTCATGGCTGCAACTAAGTTCCTGGTAAGATGCAGATTTTAAAAAGAAGTGTTTATTTTGACTTCCATTGTGAGGGGGGGTACAGTTCTACATGACAGAGAAGGCATGGTAATCAGGAGTTAGGAATTTGTCACATTGCAACTGCAATGAAACAGCAGTGAGTGGACAGGAAGCCAGGCTGGTCTGTAAAACCTCAGGGACCACTCCCCAGGGACCCATTTCCTTCAGCGAAGTTCCACCTGCTACAGGGTCTACAACATCAACAACCAAGGGTTCTAACACCTGAGCTGATGCGGTATATTTACCATTAAAGCCATAACACCTGCATAAACAGAAGTTTCTTGAGTGCTCAATAATTTTTAATCGAGACCGATAAAGAATGACTATTGTTCAAGACTAAAATAAGAGACTGTAAACCTCTATAGCCAGAAACTGAAAACTAAACCCTAATTTTTTTTTTAAACTGAGCTTCCAGATTTGAAGAAAGGCACATAGACCTGCGAATTAATTACTTCAGTTAGTTGTTTACAGTGATAATTTGAAAGGCTGACAGCTAAACTGTTATTAAAACATCCCAGGCCCTTAAAAAGATAAAACCCTTAAGGATAAGTTTGTGCCATTAAATGCCCTGTAATAGCTCCAAGAATTCGTCTTGACAATGAACTTGAAGACAAAGGGCATGCCCTTTTAAATACATGCAATCTTTGGAAAACTGCTTTGTAGTTGATTCTCACTCTTTCATCTTACATAAGAGGAACCAATTAACAGGAAGCATAAAGAATGTAAGTCTCAAGAAAATGGACAGTAGAGTCTGGATTTGGGGCCACTTTTTAAATTTTAAAGTTCAGGGATTTTACTGGTTCTACTTCAAGCATCCTCTTAGGTTTATCACATGGAAATTGGTGAAGAGTTTTTATATTTAATTTAGCTTTTTGTTTCTTTTCAACTCTAACCCAAGGAATCTGACTCTGTTTTATTGAAGGGTCATGCAGTATCCCAGTAGTCTAAAATAATATTGTATCAAAACTCAACTGCCTTCTTATTAGCTGCACACATTTAAATGTCAGTAGCAAGACACAGCTACAAAGAATGTTATATATTCTCCTGATGAAACCCTATATGACCTTCCTTTTCTGAGTTTCTAACCACTGTAATTAGTCTATAGACAGTGTTTATGATTCTGGCTCTCATTAACAGCTGTTAATCATGTGTTCCATTAACAACCATTTTCAAAAACAATGATGACTAAACTGTTAAAATGAGTGTGCATTGATGGCCATCATATAAATACCAAAAGTCAATAGACACTGAAATCAAAGAAAGAGGAGCAACTCTTAGCTTATTGATGGATCCATCCATATGATGGCTAAATGCAGTTCTTTGAAGCAAACAATTGCATGAAAAAATGCTTTTTAACATGAATTTTATTATATAAATTAAATATAGACCAGTAGATAGTAAATTATCTTTGATTCAAATGAAAAACCAAGATTCAGGAGATATCAGTGAAAAGGTAGATATTCCCACAGACAATACTACAGTTCTAGGAAATTAAAAGTCTCATGGGTAATCCAGGTTATATAAAATATTTAGGATTTCAGTTTTCTGAGTCATTTTGAATAGTCTTCCTCTGTTTATGGGAGATTTGAGCTTCCAGGAAGACCTTCAAATCACTCATGAAGAAAATGAGCAATAACTGAGAAATAACTAAGAAATAGCAGGAGTTGAGCTTGGGGTCCTTTAATAGTCTATTGAGTGGTATGAAATAATTATTTCTGTATAACTTTTCAGTAGACCTGTCAATGCTAATTTAATGCTTGTATTTTGATGGATAAATTTTATTTTTCTGTGTTTTCTCAAAGTGTATGTTGAATGAATAGGACATACTGGAAATAGATAGGAATATAGATAGATAGATAGATAGATAGATAGATAGATAGATAGATAGATATGAAATGGTGTTCAGGAAATGTTGCATTTGGAGTAATAGGAGGATGATAATTACTCTCTGTGAAGCATGAGAAACAAAACTAGAAGGGAGATTTTGACCTCAGATGAGAACATATGGTTGAATAAAGTTCAGGTTCTTTTTTTTAGATTTATTTATTATGCATACAACATTCTGTCTCCAGGTATGCCTGCATGCCAGAAGAGGGTTCCAGATCTCATTTTAGATGATTGTGAGCCACCATATGGTTGCTGGGAATTGAACTCAGGACCTCTGGGAGAACAACCAGGGTTCTTAACTTCCGAGTCATCTCTCGAGTCCTAGAAATAAAGTTCAGATGCTTACTCTGAGAAGAAAACTATGACTCAATATGGTAAAGTAACATATTCAAACTCACACTGCTAGAGATGACAAGACTATATCACAAAGCAATCTGACAGCAAAGGCAGCAATAACCACCACATGCTGCCTCGTCTTTCCCATGAAGGGAGTGAGGTTGCTTTTGTGCATACTCAGATGACTGATGAATGAACAGCACACAGATTTCAGCTCAACCAAGAGAACTGACATATTTATTCCTGGGAGAATGTATTTAAAGGCATTTTAGGAGCCACTGGGAACCCTTATCTACATCATTGCTGAAATTACACCCTTTAATGGAAAAGGGTAAAAATAATACTGAACATTGGCCAAAAGTCTATGATTAATAGTTGAGCTGTGAGTTATCTGTTTTCAAGATGAATGTCTAAAAGTAAAATTGGAATCACCTGTTCCTTCTAAGCTTGCTTTCCACAGTCTGTGAGAATACAGTTAAACTTTCCACAATCAATCAAGCCCATTTAGTTTCAATGTTTATCATTTTAAACTATGGATATACACAAGAATATGCATGCACAGGGATGAAAAGAAGAAAGCACACTGCTGTCAACTTTAAAATTGTATTGCATTTGTGAAGTTAGACATGAGATCAAAAAATTGTTAATACATCCTTGTTCCTCAGTGGTCATGTTTGAGCTATGTCACCATCAAAGGAGCCGTGTGCCTCTTTTTTTTTGTAATCTCTACAAAAGAAAGAATACAACAGTGCAATTTCTGCTTCACTCAGTAGCCTTCTCCCCAGAAGCTTGTGAGCATGAAGGAAGTGTAAAAGCTAAAGGATAACTCTTTCTAAGCAGGTCCATGAGAGTGGCCGTGTGATCATTAGTGGATCTTACTGGGTATCACCCCTCCTCCCTCATTTCTGTAATGTGTTCTTGTACTTCCTCTTCTCTGGGATAAATTCAGATGCAAGGGGGCCATCTAATCTAAGATACATTGAGAGAATGGGGGCACAAGAAATAGGCATCCTTCACAATTTTTTCTTTTTCAGAGAAAGATCATTGGTGCTTTGAATAGATTTGTAGGGTTGAAAAGTTAAGAAACTGGAGTTATAATTTTTTGCTTCAGATACAGGGATCTAAGTAAAGAAGGACAAACATAGTGGGTCTCCAGTCCCAAATAGTTGCATTGGGGAGTTGAGTGGGAAGAATATTGGAGTTTAAGGGTCACTGAGATCATAACAGATCAATGACTTTCCTGCCTGATTAGAAAAGGAAAAACAGCGCTGGAAAAAAATGGGCATTGAAATCCTCTACCTTATGCATCCTTGTTGAAAAAAAAAACCTTAACTGCCTCTCTTCCCACTTTTCTCTGCCACGTCCGTTTCTGCCCCTCCTAACCCACTATACACACTCGTTTTACTTGGAAGTGCATGGAGACAGGGAGACTGACTCTGAGTTGCTTTGCGCAAAATCCACGCCTTCTCTCCTCCCTCCTCTCCAGCCTCTGGATCCCTCACAGTGCGCTCCCTCCCTTCCACCCAGAGAGCAGTGCTTTGGGATGCTAAGGACTGCTCTGTGTACTTCTAAGGTGGGAGGGGGTTACAAGCAGAGGAGAATATCAGACGCTCAGGCGTTCCCTTCTGGCTGACGCTTTTCTCTGGTTTATGCCAGGGCTTGTCTGTTTAAGAAACGGACGGAGCTGAGGCAGCTGGGAGAGGAAGAGGCTGGGGATCCCGAAATACAAAAAGTCTTGGAGCTCTCAGTTACTGCCCTCATCGAGCCCACAGCAGGCCTTCAGCACCATGGACAGCCGCGCTGAACCTGGAAATACCAGCGACTGTTCTGACCCCTTGGCTCCTGCAAGTTGCTACCCAGCACCTGCCTCCTGGCTCAACTTGTCCCATGTAGATGGCAACCAGTCCGACCCATGCGGTCTGAACCGCACCGGGCTTGGCGGGAGCGACAGCCTGTGCTCTTCGGCCGGCAGTCCTTCAATGATCACAGCAATAACCATCATGGCCATCTATTCTATAGTGTGCGTAGTGGGCCTCTTCGGAAACTTCCTGGTCATGTATGTGATTGTCAGGTAAGGAATGCCCCGAGCACCGGAGCTCCGCAAAAGGGGTGGGGGGAGGAGACAAAGTCTGTGAGTAACAGAGAAGTAAACAGGATACAACGAGGGGGTGACTTGGATAGAGCATTTGCTATTTGTGTGTGAAATTTTGCTGCTCTGGGTATTTCTCCCTCCCTTAATAAAGGAGTGTTCAAAATTCCAAAACCAAGAAGTTTCTTTGGGCAAAGCTTTTAAGATGTGGGTGTGGGTGAGGGGGCTGCATCTTAGATCTCCTTCTTATTCTAAGCTAAGAGGGACTTTGAAACATGTCTTAAAGTCAGTCATCCCTGTGCATGAGCTGTGAAAAGTGAGAGGAAAAAAATCTAGTTAGCTTTCCCTAATTGACGGGCAGAGGCTTCTCAGTAGGTTAAAGAGATGAACTCACTAACTTTCTTAGCAAGTGTAGGCTGGACCACAGCCCCACCCATTCTCCTGTGCTGGGGGAGTCTTATGTTACTCTTCTTCCATCCTGAGGCTGCCCCAGATGGAGGAAGCTTCCATGGCATCTTCCCAGGGCAGGGTGGCTCGGATGGAGCATGCATACTGTTGTGATGTTTAACCCAGTTTGCACTTTCTTCCTGCAGATCTGCTCAGGGGGCCCTGAGTGGCATCTCGAATTGCTGGGTAGCTCGGGGCATCTACAGGGCATAACCATTTTTCAGTGCTTGCAAACGTGGGAGTCAATTAGGGATCATAATAGCAGCAACACTGTATTACTGGGAGCTGTTCAGGATGTTCTGGAGAGGAAAGTATCTCTACCTTCCAAAGAGTTTGAGGTCTACTTTCTGTTGTTTGGGGTGCTCTAGATGAATTTGACTGAACAGGGTCTCAGTACTGAGAGTGATGTTGAGTGTGGTGGCATTGAGTCACGTGTTCCAATTCTGCCTGTTAGTGTGGAATACTCACCTATGGACTTCTGCTAAAGTAGATGGATATCCCAGCACGTTAAAATGGCTCCTGATTTGAGTCCTTCTTCCCAGTGGGGTTATGTGGCATCATGAGCATGGCATTGTTCAGGTTTAGTTACAATATTTGCTTCACCTATTCAGCACACATGTCACAGCTTCCACAAAGTGCTCAAGTCGTTGAAAGATCATTTCCCTCATTATGCTTTTGTTCCCAAGGTACTGCAAATTGCTTGTCTGATTTCTTTAATTAATGATTGTTTAAAGTAAAACTGATTTCTCTGATCTTTGGGTGAGGAATATGTCTCTGAGAAAAGAGCACCATCTATTGAGAGGAAGGCTAACAGCAGAAGGGAAAATACACGAAGGAGATCAATAGGAAAATGTATGCTTTAAAATGTTTACTTGCTATAATTCAGCCCAGAGATGGATTCAAATGAGAGATTAAAAGTCAGTCTCATTCCACAGGTAAGGCTGTAATTTAAAGATGGCTTCCAATAAGGAAAATATGATGTTCATTGTTCCTGGAGGGAAAAAAATCACAGAATCATAAAATGAAAGAACTAAAATGAACTGGGTATTATCCATGCCTGACAAGTGAACCAATACAAAAGAAAATCAATTGTTTATCCAAGAAAATATATTCATTAGTTCACTTAGCTCACATAATTTTCTGTTTATTAGGATAGAAATTGATTGTTTGAGTTAATTCTGTCGCTAGATCAACAGGGAAATCTTGGTTTACAGTAGTAATACTGAAATAACAAAATATCCCAAATTTATGGGTAGGTTCCTGGGTTTTAAAGGAGTGAAACCATTGCCAAAGCAACCAAGAGTCTTTTCTCCCTATTAGTCTGCAGTGTCTTCCTCTTTTTTTATCCCCTCTGGTTTCTATTTTCTATAAAGAGAACCAGTAGCACAAGGGCCAGCTGAGGCAGACAGTTTGGTCTTTTCCCAGTGCTGAGGAGGCTGCTGGCTGGGTGGATTCATTTCAAAGGCATTACCTCTCACTTGCTCACTTGGAGACACATGGTGACTCTGCCTTTCATTGAGAACATGGCATTATGCTTTATTCTCTGTACTGAAAGTTCTGACAAGCAGTTGGATTTAAAAGGTCAACCCAAACACCCACCTGTGGCAGAACAGGTGCTTAATTCCAAGGGCAGATAACCTTCTGGGAATGAGAATGTGAAAGAGAAAAATAGGCAGTTCGTTAACAGATGAACTGCTGGTGAAGCATCTTTGAGTTGAAGAAACTATACCTAGGTAGCTGAGCATATTTAACTGGATGTCTGGAGGCTGTAGTGTCCCAGATAATTTCACGGACTTCGTCACTCTGTTTGTTACAAAACAAAAGTACAGTGATGAGTCCATGAAATAGTGAGAGGGACTCACTATTATCCACCTGCTTGAAACAACAAACACAATTAAGTAGTCAAATAGCCACAGCTGCTAAAGGGATGAAGATAGTATCTTTGAGAATAGCTTAGGATGTTGAGTGAACCACAGATAGCTATAACAAAAACAGCAAGAAAAAAAATAATGTAATCCCAGATTAATGTCTCTTTTCTCAGGACCATCCTCATTATCCCTTCAATACCATAAATGAGCAAACCTTAAGTAGGATTCTTATAAAAAATATGTTCTAAGGAATGTAAGAAATAAATGAGGATTCTATCCTAGGTCAAAGATGTGGATCACAAGCTTGACTCCATAGAACTATCATAGGTAGCCATCACCTAAGACGACTTTGGGTTTTAAAATGGGGAAAACTTCTCTGTTCATATACATAATTTTTCCCAAAGAGGAATCAGTATTGTGGATTGATACCAGCAATTGACAGTTCACATACACACAGAGATAAGCATATATGTGCATAAATATACATACAGCTTCATCAGCTTTGAATTGAGACAAGATTGCTGCTGTCACTTGCTACGGGAATAAAAAGGAAAAAGAAATGAATACAGAGGTTTTCATCATTCATCATAGTGTACTCTGCAAAGTTTCCATGACTACCATAGTATTGTTGTGAGCTCTGGTTGAGAAAGTTCATCAACCAATCGATACATAAACCTTTTCCATGTGTGTTTCTATTTAAGGGGGTCCTGTTTAATACACATTACTGATCAGTTTCCACTGAACTCACAGTCCATTGTGCATGTCTGAAATCATGTTTACACAAAGTCTAACATGCATACTTTCTATAGAAAGCACTTAGTACTTTCTTTGTTTTTGGATCCTAGACAGCATTTTGTCACTATACATGAGGGCATTTCAAACAGCAACATTGCAGTGGCTGGTGAAGACTAGGAAAGTCTCAGAGACCAAATTGGCACCTCTATCTAGTGTCTCCCACTTCCTGTCATGATCAGAGAAATAATTCACAGAGGAAAAAAAGCAAAGACTTAGAATAAGGAGGAAATTTCCTTACAAAGCAAAAGTAAACCACCAAGAGGAAGGGAGGGCTTCTTGGGAGAATGTAGCAGCACCAGAATTTTGGGCCACTCAGTCTTATAGACAAAAACATTTATAGGGGAGAGAATTACTCATGAAAAAAGGTGAGGAATTCCAGGAAAGGGGTGGGATTTTCCTGGAATAGGGTTCTTCTAGCCTTATATGGAGTTTGGGGGTGTGTCATAGCATTAGATGCATGATGAAAACATCAAATTCTGGAAGGCTAGGAATGAGGTACCATACTGAAGCATAGTACTGTTAGTGGGGGACTTAGTCAGTTGTGTTGGTCTCAGCCAGTTTGGAAAGTCTCCATTTTTACTGTTTGAGCAATCCCATCACACCCAGCTCTGTCACATAGCTCCCTCCTTCAGACTTATAAACAAAACCTCCTAAGAAACAAATGAGGCAAAGCCTGGTCTTCAGAAGAGATGCTGGCTCACAGTATGAGAGCTCAGAGACAGAGCATCACCTTCTTTAGAGTCACCTGGGAATTTACAAACAGGGCCCTTCAGGTAAAGCACAGTTCTCTACAAACCCACATAAACCCTAGAGAGGATGCAAAAGCCCACAGTACATTTTGTAAGGCCAAATAGTTTCAGTTATGTCTCCTCTACAATTTCCTCCTGGAATAAGGATTGATGGCAAGCATAGCAATCTTCAAGGAAATAGTGTCAACTCTTGGTATCCAAAGGGAATTTGGCCCTAGGACTCCCATAAATACCAAGCGCAGAAGCTCAAGTCTTTGTGTTTAATGGTCCATTATTTGCCTTCAACTTTGATTCATTAAATCATATCTTGATTGCTTAGCATCTTAACATAATGGAAATGCTGTGCAAATTGATGAAGTGCTGCACTTTTTTAGGGAATAACAACAAGAAAAGAAGTCTGTTCCTGCTGAGTACAGTACAAAATCTCCCAAACGCCTTTGAACTGCAGTTGCTTAAGTCTACAGATGCAGGATTCTCTGGTACTCAGAAGTGACACAAATAAGACAACCAAGAGGTTCGACTGTGTTAAACACAACAGCGAGTTCACCACACAAAGACGAGTTCCACACTCTGAGCATACACTACCATCAAACGGAATAGCATGACAGCAAGGTGAATACCCATAATTCCCTCAGCAGTTCAGTACCAGATATCTAGGTGTACCACACACACTCAGAAACAGACATGGAATATTTTATTTTATATATTGGAATAAAACTGTCAAATTTAAATTGATTTCCATGTATTTCTAAAGACAGGGGTTAAGTAGAACTAAAATTGTGTGATGGGCATACAGAATGTCTGAAGAACATAATTTAGGATTCAGTTCCATTGTTTGAATCCTTGCCCTTCATTTCCAAAGCAGTTCTAAAATAAAAGGGGCAATTACCTAATAAATAGTAACTGGTCTATAGCTACACCATCACAATGATTTGATACTTACATTTAGAAAATTTTAGAAGCCATTTTAAGCAACAAAATCTTTATTCTAGTGTTTAATGCTTCACTTATCAGGGCTCTGCCTACAACTTAATGACTCTAGGTCTGTAAATCTGTCTGCTCTCTCCAGCACTGAAGATGGTAGGAGTGCACAATCAGCTACAGATTCAATCTGGAACATTAA